CTTGACTGCATCTACCAAATGTGTCTCTGGTGTTCAGTTAAACACTTCATGGTTGAATTAAAGTCCTAGGAGCAGGAGTGTGAGAAATTTTTTTTTAATCATTTGATAAGATGAAATTTGTAATTTCATCTCATTTTTTAAAGTTAAAAATTTTTGAAATTTGAAAAAGCGATGAAATTTGCAAAGTGCAGGACTAGGTAGACAGAAAGCCACTTTCAGACCAGAAACTGAGAAACTTGGGTAATAGAGTTACTCAGAAACCACGCCCACGGGATGTCTGTGTGCGTGTGCATGTGCGTACGTGTATACACATCGAGAGAGATTTTTTTAAATTGTGGTCAAAATCTATGCAACATAAAACATACCATTCTAACCATTTTTAAGTGTAGAATTCAGTGACACTAAGTAGATTCATATTGTGCAGCCATCACCGCTATCTATTTCCAGATTTTTCCGTCATCCCAGACAGAAACTCTGTACCCATTAAACAGTCACTTCCTGCTCCTCCCTCCCCCAGCCCCTGGCAACCACTACTGTACTTTTGGTCTCTATGGATTGGACAGTTTTAGGTACCTCCTATACGTGGAATCATACAGTATTTGTCTTCCTGTGACTGGCTTATTTCATTTAGCATAATGTCTTCAAGGTTCATCCACGTTGTTGCATGTATCAGAACTTCATTCCTTTCTAACAGTCCATTGTTTGGGCAGACCGCATTTTGCTGATCCATCCATTGATGGATGGCTGCCTGGGTTGCTTCCACCTTTCGGCTGTTGTGAATAACGCTGCTGTGAACGTGGATGCACACGTCGCTGTCTGCGTCCCTGCTGCCAGGCCTCTGGCGCGCACATCCAGGAGTGGAACTGCTAGATCTGCTGTGTAATTTTTTTTGAGGACTCTCCATCCTCTTTTCCAAAGAAGCTGTATCACTTTACATTTCCACCAGCAATGCCCAAGGGTTCCAATTTCTCCACATCCCCACCAACATTTGTTTCCTGGTTTTTTTGTTTTGGTTTGGTTTGGTTTTGTCTTGTTTTTTTGTTTCCCAAGTGAATCAAGGCAATTTTTAAATGAGATCTGAGTTGTGCATTTGTTGTCCCTGAAGCACCATCATGTCACTTTCAGTTCCACAGATTAGCTCAAAAGTCGGTGCTGGCTTTTTTTAACCCCCTCTCAGAGTTTGTGATTTAAGAGCAAGCCTTCTTTGACTTCACTCCAAGAAGTGAGTGGGGTGATTGATTTCAAGCTGGAGGTGAGACCAGGAAAGGAAACAGATCTCCCACGCAAGGGCTGATGTTCAGAGCCCACGTAGAAACCAGCCACCCCTTTCTTTGGGATCAGGTGAAATGAGAAATCATCCCAGTACCAGCCCCTCGCCCCGACCCCGTGTCTCTGTCTCGCTCACTCTTTCTCTCCCACTCCCGTCCTAGGCAACCATAACGAGTAAGACTTCATTTCCCGGTTCTCCCGCAGAGCCTCAGTTCCAACACTGCAGCTCCGGCTTAAAACATCTTAAATCAATAGCAGTTTGAGGTGACTGGAGTTTAATTCAGGTAGACTCCTCTACAAACCCATCAAAACCATCATCACTTCTGGGGCAATTCAGGGTGGATCCTGGGAACACCTGCAGTGGGCAGTCTCCTGGGCTTTGTCGCCTCTTTCCCGCTGCACAGCTGCGGGGAGCCACCTCCAGACGGCTGCGACGCCACTGCGCTGGCCCGGGCTCTGCTGGCGGCAGCCCCTGCAGCCCCACCTGGCTCTGCAAGGCTGTGGTTCTGCTCGGGGTGGCTGCTGAACGCTCCTTCCCCAGGCCCCCAGGAGAGCTGGGGCCTTCTACTCCCAGGAACAAAAGGTCCCCTCCAAACAGCCTTAGGTTGCGATGGCTCTTCCAGCCTCCCAAGTGCAGCCCCTGCATCTGTTAGGAGCTTGTATCAAATGCCCCAGGGGCCAGACTGAGGGCCCCCTGTCTGATTACCTCCCACCTGACACTTGCAGCCCCACTTGCCCACTGAGGTGCCAGGGACTGAGTGTCCTTGCCTCTCAGGATGTGTTCTCTGCCTCTCCAAGGCTCCCTCCTCCCAGCCACAAGCCTCATGACCTCTTCTCTATTCTGGAGTAAGTCCCAATGCCCAGACGGCACGGTCCTAGGGCCCAAAGGTCCCCTCAGATATGCCCAAGGACCTTAAGACCTCATAATCAGACAGGGCTCCTGCTGATGGTATGTCAGGTAGGATACACCAGGCTGCAAGTAACAGATAGTCCCACCTCAATGGAAAGACCAATGCGCCCTCCCACTGAGCAGAGGTCCCGAGGGAGAACAGCTCTGGGGCAGGTTGGTTCACTGGCTCAGCAATGTCTCCCAAGACTCAAGTTTTTCCATCTTTCTAGTGACAATGTCAGAGTTTGGCTTGGTCCCCAGGGTGGCTCCTCACGGCACAAGATGGTTGCTGCACTGCCAGGAGTCACATCCAGACACTATGATGTCCAACAGAAAGAAGAAGATGTGCTTTCTCTTCTTCATTCCTCTCCTTAAGAGCAAGGAAGCCTTACCCAGCAGCCTCCTGGACACCCCCTTAAATCTCATTAGCCCTGATGGTATCACACGATTAAGCCCAGGGAATCACTGCCGAGGAATGGGACCACCATGATTACTCTTGGTGTCACCTCTTGGTACCCATCATGTACTTGGTTTGTTGTGGTATTTTCACCCTTTCCTTTTTTTATGTAAGAAATATATAAATAGTTTCTTGTTCTAAATAACTTATTCAATACAGAAGAATGCTGAGTAAAAATATGAGAAATGCTCTTTACAGCCTCCCCCAATCTCACTTTCCTTCTCTATTTTGCTGTGTCTCTTCCTGTCCCCTTTATGCATTTGCATATATGCGTATGTTCATACACACAGAGGCACTTTGCTTTAATTTTTACCTAGATGGTATTTTGTTCAGCTACTGGCCTTTTCCTGGTTAGCTCTCAGGACTTACTGATTTCCTTCATTCACTTCAGTGGCTGAATGTTCTCCCACAGGGTGGATATGCCATTGCTTTGCACTTTAACTAGCTTTTCAATCTTCTGCCTTATCCTCGTAGGTAGACGATGAACATCCTGAGGGCATATTTTTCTTATCTCCAAGCACTTAATACAGCATTTTTCAACAAAGTGAAAAAGTTAATTAACAATTCCAATGGAAAGATTCTTTCTTTGCCACAGAAATTGTCTTAGCGCAACTGACTGCTCGAGGTAGAGCCCTCTTCTGAGCCAGTAGGAGGGACATAGCTCCAAAATCTATCAGTTTGTCTATCGACAGTGACAAGTCAACCTACTGGCAAGGGAGAGTTGATAATTTTCTGCTTTCCTTTGGTGAGGTTTCCTGGGTTCAGGAAGGCACACCAACATGGTCTCCCTGAGCAGGTTGCCAATTCAGAGCACTTGGGCTACTTACAAAAGTTATGCGTTGTTTGGCTCACATAATAACATCAGGGCAGAGTTATTAGCAGCCCGCACTTCCTGGAGAACCATTTCAAGGACTACTAATGGTGCTCAGACTGCTGAGCTGGAACAGTTATCCACATGCCTAGACACACACTCTTAATAACCCTTTCCAGGTTTCTTGAGGCAGTCACGATTACATAAAATCGATTACAACTGAACCTATTCTAGACCCTTTGGTGGGGAGAAATTACTTCAATATGAGGCTATCACCTCAAAACAGAGCAACCATATTTAGGACTGGGAGGAACTTCTCTGAGCAATCACTCTTGAAGCAGATGTTGGCATTCAGACCTGCTGATAGCACCAGTGAAGATCATCTCAGGCCTCTTTGGGGCTCCTTGTACTTCTGAATCTGCCGAGCTTCCTGCAGTAGCCGAAAAAATTACCATTGTGAAAGAGCAAAGAAAAGAAACATCTGTGTCCCAGATGTGCTCTCTGGCATCGGGGAGGACTCTCAAAATTCAGACCTTAACAGGAAACCTGGAACAATGAAAGGGAGTCAGGCAATAGGAATGAGACCGAAATTAGTTTATGTCCCTCTGCTGATAATACACAAGGGGAAAGTTTTTGATCCGTCATTTTAATTAATATGGATTATGAAAACTCTGGTCCCTACCACTAGGAAGTCTACAACTGAATAGGAGAAAGATAGTATCCACATATGAAAAACTGAACGATGATACCAGGCACCCTGGGGTGGAGACTAAATAAATGCCTATTACGCATTTAGAAGGAGACTCCACTGCGATAGCCAGGCTCTGCTTCCAAACAGGGCTGCTAGTCTGCCTTGATACAAACACTCTGAGAGGGTTGTATTTGACCACGCCTGCGCACTTATTTCTTTCAAAAAAGCAATCTTCTCTGCAGACTCAGCCTGGATTTCTTTGCCGACTTGAATGCCTCTACACGTGTCTTCAGCTGCTGGGGCTGAAAGGTTCCCAGCCTGCCTCCTCTGCGTTTCCACCCCCGCCCCGACCTAGGAATAGCCATGGCCATTGAAGACATTGATTACCCTTCTCCCTTCACCTACACCTACCAACTCACCCTAATTTGTTGTGAAAAACATTTGCCAGCAGATAGAGAAGACAGAATCAGGAGACAACCTGGATACCACTTGTTAAAAGGGATTAAGAGGGTAACCATACAGGCTGCTCCCTCAGGCCCAGGCACTGGTGTCCCCAGCACCCCACGTGGGTGTTTCTGTAGACAAATATTTTTTCAGGCCAACACTGGGTTACATGGTGGCAGACCTTGGGAGTCGAAAGAGAAAGATGAAACCTTCACAGCAACTAGGCGTTTTCTTTCAATGGGAGTTTTTCTCTCTGCAAAGTTTTGTTTTACCTGGTAATTAAAGATGGGCAAAAGCAGTCCTGGAGAAATAGCTTTTCCTCCTCTCCAAGCCTGTTTTTCCAGGAGGAACAGGCACAGGCAGGGCCAGGGAGCCCGCCAACCGCTCCTGATGGTTTATGGTCTGGGCCACTTCAATTTCTCATGTGTTACCTTTCTAGGGGCTGCGAGGCCCAGCAATCTGGACGCAGGCCAAGAAGTCAAGAACTGCTGAAGCCCAGGTCTCCGCTCTCGTACTGACACCAGCGACCACCCAGCCCTGTCAAACCACATGGCCCTGTTTTCCTGATGTATGAGGTGGGTAGAACATTTTCCCCCCAAAAGAGGACTCCAAGGGATTAATTAGTTAAAATCTGTAAACATGTATCATTATAATTATTATTCCAGTTTCTAGTTAAAACCAAACTGGCCAAAAGGAAAGAAAATACCTGCACTGCCTCTGAGGGCCGCTACCTTGGCTTTTCCGGTATTTCCAGCCTGGCTGGTGGGAGGAAGTCCCGGGAGGCTCAGCGCTGGCTGGGCCTGAGCCCAGAGCTGTGTTCGCCACGTTGGAGGATGAGGAGGCCAAGAATCCAGTTGAGCCCTGGATACAGATGGGCTCTGACTGTTCCTCTCCTGGACATCTCCCGAGAGACCCTGATGCAGTGCGTCTCCAGTAAGGCTCTGGGCCTTTATGTTTCTTGGAGAGTCACAGGTTGTGTAGGTGATCAGACAGGCTTTCGGTTGCTAAGGTGTCGAGGTAAAACCCGTGCTTCCAATGGAGTGACTACTCTCTCCTCGCGAGACGATCCTCTGGGCCTCTGAGGTTGTTGCAGAGAGAAAAGTCGTGTGTGGTAGGACAGCCCTCCCCTCCCAACATCTATCTTCTTCATGGGAGACCCTCAGTGGACCTCAGCCAGTCCCCCACGGCTCCCCTTCTCTGCGCCTGAAGAGTTCTATCCCATTCCAACTCCAGCTTCCACACACAAACGTCTACCTTTCTCCTAATGGAGCCCAAACCAAGGCCCCAGGCCTCTCTCTCTACGGACTTCCGGTCTGAGCGAGGCCTCCTCGCAAGATGGATGGCCGACGCCGGAAGTGCCGTCACCGGAAGTGCCGGGCTAGAGCTCCCCCAATTCCGCTGAGGAAGTCAGGGCATAATGCCAGCCGGGAGCTCAGGAGAACAGTTCGCCACTGTTTAAATGGGCGTTTTTAAAGTACCTGTTCAATATTTACCTAGAGGGAAGGATGAGTCCTCTAAATAAATAAAGGAAGGACCCAACAGGGGAGAAAGTCCCCAGGAGGTAGCCTCAGCGTGGCCCCCACCTCCAGAGAATTCATTTCTGGCCCCAAATTTGCAGCAATCCCCCAACCTTAGCAAAACAAAAGCCCGCAGTTAAGGTCACCCACCTGTCTCAAAAGACACAGTCCCCACGCAGGCCCCTCAAAACCCTTCATACCAGGCCCTCTTCAGGTATTCCTTCCCTCTCCCGGCTGTTTCCCCTGAAGGCAGATCTGGGGAAGACTATTGTCTCTCTCTGTCTTGCTACTGTTTTTAGTGGTGCCCCAGCTGTTCAGCTGGCCCACCCAGGCTAAAAGGGAATGTGGTTTCTTTCCAAGTGCACTGGGAGCCCTGAGTGCTCTGGTGTTCCTGCAGGGGTGGCTCTGGGCCTGCCTGCTCCCTGCCCACCACTGCTGGCAACCCGGGGCCCCTGACATATGTCAGATAGGCCATGACACAGAAGAGACACAGAAGTTAGGGAAGGTTGCTCTTTGGGTCTTTATAAGCATAATTCTGGCTTCTGCCTTGACACTCCCTTCACATGCCCTTGGTCATCTCTCCCAGGCCCACAATGCTGCTTGTGGGGCTTGTTACAATTGAAGGGGACTTCCATTTGTCCGGGGGGTGCCAAACTTCTCCCTCTGCTTCCTCTACCATTTCCATGACTCAAGCTGCCTGGAAACTGGCTTTCTGACATCTGGCATAATACTCTTCCTTTGCCTTTTGAGGCAAGTCCATAATGATCACCGGAACATCTTTTACTTGAGACTACGGATCAAAACTGGTACCTAGAACATGAAATAAGTGGCAGAAAGAAAGGCCAAAGGGATGTAAGTGGAGTGTTTTTCAGAATATACTCAACTTGGAGGACCACTGAAAATATTGTTAATCAGGAGCGTGTATAATGCAGTGTGCTGGGCTGAGGGCCCCAGGGTGGACAGGGAGCCTCCCTCCCCAGCACTCATGCTTAGAGTACAGAGTAGGGTGTGTGTGTGTGTGTTTGTGTGTGTAGTAATTACATATAACTTTTAAGAAAAGTATTTCCAAGACCAATGGTATCAGAATGAATTGGCACTATGTGGGGTAATTAAACAAGAAATATGTGTACTCCGTTTATAGATGGTAACAGCACTTTTGGTAGCCAAGACACTCCCTCTGTCTATGAAGCAGGGCTAGGCAACCATTTTTAATTTAGTTAACCAACCCCAGTCCCTTTCCACTTCTACATAGTAAGTAAACACTTGAGTACTTGTCTCTGGGTTTGGTCACCTGGTGGTGTCCAGGATGCCTGGAAGCCTTGGGTCCTCTGCATCATGGTCCACTGGGTTTTATGCATTCCCCAGGCTGGTATTGGCTGTCACTAAAAATATTCACCAGCCATGGATGAGAAAATCTAGGAGTTGTGGTTTTTTCTTTGTCAAGTTCGGCCAACATCTCTTGAGCTTTGGGGTGCAATCATTTTATGTAACCCCTTGTTTCTGGATATATCTTTGGTTGATATTTGTTGCCATTTCTTGTACGTCTTGATATTCTGCTATAGGTACTTTGTTCCACGTTAAATTAATACTTATTTTTTACTTATAAACAAAACAAAACCACATAGAAGGGTGTGATATTAGAGATGAAAGTCTTGGCTTTTAGCTCTACTTCCCAGAGATGATCACGGCAAACAGACACAGCCTTGGAAGGGTTCTCTGCATGATCAAAGTCCATAGGCTGCTTTTCTACACAAACAGGACCATACCGTACCCATTGGACTTCAACTTGCTTCCTTTATTTAAAGCTGTGTCTTGGAACTCTTTCCACATTAGAACCTGGAGAAGCACTTCATCTTTCAGTGGGGTGTGCTACTCCAGTCTATGGGGGCCACCAGTTAGCTGGTCTCTTGTTGAGGATGTTTAGCTTGTATCCAGTTTTTTTCCTCCTGAAGAGTCAGTCAGAGGATTGGATACAATATTGGGTGTTTCGTTGCTTCCTTTAAGAGTATAATTGTAGGATGAATTTCTACAGCTGGATTAAAGAGCTGTCACAATTTACATCTTGGTAATTGTTACCAAATTGCTTTCCAAATAAGATACCAACAGTATATTGATGCAACAGAATGTTTTTAAAGAAGCAAAATAGCCAACTCAATTATCCGTAAATGGCCATCCACAGTGTGTTAAGCCTCCCTTCCATCAGAGCCTGCTGATTTGGGCTGGATTAAGCCAGGAAGGAATTTAACTATGGACTTCTCTCTGCATTTGTCTTCTGAAGCTAAATATGTAAGATTTGGGCAGTTCTGAGCGGTTTTGTATTTTCTTTTCACTGCGGCCCCCTGTGTTCCTCTTGTCCCAAGGTCAGTCTGCTGTGTGTCTGCATCGGGCCAGGGGGCCAACTGGGGTTTAATGACGCTTGGTGCCTGAGCCTCTATAGAGCTAGAAGGGGGTTCTGGGGTGAACTGCCAACTGCAGGCTCGGGCTGGGGCTCCCCGAGGTGTACTGTTCTTAGGATTTCTTTTTACCTCTCTAGTCATCCTGCGCTTCACAATCCAAGTGCCCCTGTTCCTCAGCCCTTTTCTACCTGCATTGTCCACTAGAAAATTATTAAGGGGGTTAATAGAGTTGCTGTTCTAGGATCTCCTCTTCTGGCGGCTCAGGGTGGATTTTCTGCAGTAATTCTCAAGCAATCTGGGGTGAAGGACTACTCTCTTTATTTTCAATTTCCAACCTGTTATGGACTGATACTTTTGTAAAGTACCAGAAAAACTGAATGGTTAGAAAAATAAAATAAAAGACATGTACAAACTATGAGCCCAATTCCTTTTTATTACATTTAAACAGACAGAACATTACTCTATTATTTTGCTCTAAACATATTTTTAAAATCTTGCTCTCAGTTTCTGTTCTCATCTCATTAGAGCTCGGGAGCAGTTTGAGTCACACTGCTTGAAGCCCACCTCTAGAAGCTTCTGCGAGCTTCTTTTCCACCCTAAGCCTCTATAATTTTGCTGGGAGAGTGATTCTCATCCAATAGGGGAAGTCATCCCAGTTTTCAGCCATGGAGGGTCTGGGTCAGTCCCCAGGGTTTAACACTGGGTTTGGGTTTAAGCTCAAGGTCCTGCCCATTTACCTCTGGTCCCCTTTCCACCCATCGTTTCCTCTGTGGGAAGCAGTTACTAATGTGCAGGATCCCGTGATCTGCTGTCTTCAAATTAGACATATTCTTTCATTTATGGTTTTACTTTCAATTTGATTTAGGTCAAACATCAACCTTCTTATCAGTATTACTGTCTCTTCTCTATAACCAGCTACAGACAAGTGAAATGTGAAATTGGAGGATGTGGATAAAAGGGAAGTGATAGTTTTTTCCATCTGGCCATGAAAACTTTTCAATTCACTTTTTAAATAATTTTACACTTTGTGAGATACTGAGGATGGATCTTAATAGAAGGGAAATTATGAGCAACAACCCCTCACAATATGAGATTTTAAAGCTCTTTTGTCTTTAAAAGGGGCAGACTGTTTCAATGTTAGATACCTACGAAAATTGGTTTTCAGATTTCCTTTTGGAACCTGAAGTAGCAGCTCACAGCGGCATCTAGTGGACATAAGTGGTATAACAGATGGAGTAGACCAGGCAGAAAAATAAAAGTACAGTGATTTTTAAGTACTGTATTTCATTAATTATAAAGCTCAGACTTTTTTCCTGTTTTGAACAGTTTTGAAATTGAGTTATGGCTAAAAATATGTGGCACATCACAGTTTAATTAAAAATTTTTCTTTCTCAGTGATACTTTGTCTTACAATTGATGACATCTTAGCTTTATCAAAATATGATTTTTCATATGAAACTTTGTAGGATGTTCATTCAGTTATTCTCTCAGTAACATTGAGCATCTGCTTTATATATGTTAACATATTGACTTACTGCATATATTGTATTCACTGCATATATTTCATTTGCATTATATTCAAAACTCTTACTTGTAATGCAAAATGTAGCTCTTTTTTTGTGATACACTAATGCACTGAAGGCAATCAGACCTAACTCCATG